TTTGAGGGATGTCCCTGGGACAACTATCAAAAACTTAAATCCTACTGTATTCCTCATCAAGCACTACGGCATACATCCATAGGACAACCTATCAGCAACGCTGAGGGATATCAATTGGATGTCCATAGGATGTCCAGGGGACGTACGAATTATTCTTGAATATGAATTATTTTGGGTTCCTCTAGGACCAGATCTTGCATAACTGATGAGGACATTCAGTTGAGTTGATGGTCCGAAGAAGGTCCCCAATAGATCCTGAAACAGTTCCCCAAGGATATGTTCAATGGACTTACGTGAAGGACATTGACGGGGAGTATTTATAGTGTACGAACAATCATTCGTCGGCGAGGTACACGTTAACGTCCTCGCAGAGACAACATATTGAAAGTATTGACTGGGTCGTCCGTAAGCAGGACATTATTTCTAGGACATTGGAAGAGTATAGTTCTTGTACCAATTGGGACATCCGACGAATATCCCTAAGGGACATTCGAAGGATATCCCTAAGAGACATTCGAAGGATATCCCTAAGGGACATTTCGATTGTTAAACGATCCTGAAAATATCAAGGGCGTCTGTGCAGAGATATTTGAAGGAATGTACCATCAGGGACATTTCATGGTTGTCTAGAAGGGGCATTATATAAGATCTGAAGTCAGGCCATAATATGTCGTACTACTCGGGACATCCGATAGATGTTCCTAAAGGAACGTTTAAAATCATATCCCATCAGGGACATGCCAAGGATATCCTCGCATGGACATTCTATAATATGTGCCACGTGGGCCGTCTGAGGGATGCTATTTCTAGGAAATTTGAAATGATGTACCAGCTGGGACATTCCGTGGACGTCCTTGATCAGAAATTGCATGAGATGTACGGGATGGGACGTCCCAAGGCCACTTATTATTCTTGGTTCGGGACATTCGGACTTGAATTGTACCAAATATAGAGAAGTTCCTAGGACTTTGTGTGCGATTAGGATTGAGCATGTCCGTGTAGGCCAAATAATGCTCAGCCTGAAAACCGAAATTTTTCAGTCGATCATCTTAAACTCCGATTTTTTAGGCAAAATCGAAAAGGTGGTATCAGGAGAGCAGAAATGTGAAAGGTAATTTTTTACTCGGTAATCTAAAATTCCGATTCTCAAGGCTACATCGATATGTCGGTATCCCAGCCAGCAGGATGACGTCAATTCTCGTCGTCAAGATTCGACCAATAAATGACGTGATTTTGACGTGTTCCAAAAACGTATCTGATAGACGTCATTTGACGTCATTTTGACGTAGAATCTGCACCAATCATGTTGTTTCATTTCGAAGAAATTACTCCATGAACTGCATATCCAGGACTCCTGATTAAACGCTTATCAAAATAAAATAGGTACCTACCTTAGTAAAGGCGGATTCACGTATACCCGACATGGATAAACCTAAGTGGTGAAATATGTAGAACAAATATTAATAAAAAACACCCTGATAGAGATAACTTGGAAACAGATACGAAAGATTCAAGAATTTATTAAATGTATACAAATATGGTTATACCAGGTGCCTATACATGATACATGTTTAATATTGGCGCGCCACGTCAAGACATACAGATGCTTATGATTGGTCAATCCGTTGTCCGTGGCTTTGTGTGTCTTCGTTTCGTACTATGCCATCGCTACGCTACCCCTATCGGCTATCGTCGTAGCACAGTAATCATGCGCATGCGTGATCAAGTTCATCGAATGTTGTGATGGCGGATTCGTGATTTTGGGTCATTGAAAACAAGGATACTATGAAAAAGTGGGGTTCAGCAAAATATATTGCAGTTCGCTGGTTGTTTTATCAATTCCAGGCAGTAGAAATGTTTGTGGGAATACAATATTCCGAGGAAAGGCATTGCTTCAGTAGAAGTGGTTGACCCCATGACGCCTCGTAAGGCTGCGAAGTGTAGTGGCCGCCTATCAAACATCAAGACTTTTTCAACAGGTTAATAATCAAGAAAGCGAAATCTACAAATGAAACTTATTGGAAGTTGTTCGATGTAGTGAGGTTGTTATTTGAAGAAGGTAATCTATAAATACCTTAAATCGTAGGTACAAGAATAATTTGAGGTTATTGTTAGGTTGAGATTCCTTTGAAACTTGACAACTTGTTTAATGTCTACATATACTATGGAATATAGTGAATTTTATGCTTATTAGTTTTATTCAGTTGAAGAATACCTATGTACCTATAATTATGTGAACAAATAAAAAATTTCCACAACTATTGTAACTAGATCATTTGAACTGTTTTGCCAACCATCAAGGAATAGGATCATGGAAAAGTGATTTCGAGTTTCACAGTCTCTTGGTGATGTCGAAACCTGGACCTGATGCTTGTTAACTATTCGACGTGTAGACGACGTCGCTAAATGACGTTGAAACGACGTCGCTAAATGACGTCGTTTCGATGTGACATATCGACGTTAATTGGTGACGTGTATATGTCGTGAAATTGACGTGTGAATGCTAGCTGGGATCAGGAGAGCAGAAATATTAGAGGATAACAGAAACACCCAGCAAACACATCTGTTATATTTACATCACTGTTATATAAAATCAACGGAACTTTTTTATATAGAATATTTACGTAAATATTCCATAATACTTCTGAAATATGTGAACCTCCTATTTATATAAAATATTTACGTAAATATTCCGTAACAATTCTGAAATATGTGAACCCCATAATTATATGAAAATGTAACGTAACTATGATGTAAATGATATGTGACAATTTGATATCAATATAAAAGCTTATATGATAGCTACATGACTTTACTAGGACTCTCGGCCGTAAATTCTCTGCAGACTTGATTCTGCGTCAATTAAGGATATTCGTTGGGATGATCAGTACCCGTGGTCTCGCGATGTAATGTTCCCCCACCGCGATGATTATTATTTTTCGCTCTCGCACTGTAGCGTTTCTCCGTGACCACTTAGAGGTTATAAGTAATGAGTGAAGACTTGGAGACTGAAAGCATTTTCAGTATTTTCTTACTATTCCGAGTGATTTTCTTGTTTCCACCAATTTTCTGCGCTGTAGTGGTCCCCCATCCTACATGCCCAATTCCTATTGGTCGACTACTTTGAGGTTATGAGTTATAATTATAAGTGAAGACGAGACCATAAACAAACTACACTGAAGGCATTTTCGGTATTTTATAACTATTTCGAGTGTTTTTCTTGTTTCTACCTGCTGTGTTTGATGAATTAAACTAAACTATAAGTGTTAATAAGAATAAGTGGAGGTGAGTGAGAATAAAACATGCCTTGAGATTTTCCTAACCTCTGTGAAAACAACAAGAAATAAATAGTTACATTTATTTATCCTGGGCCTCTAAATATGCCTAGAATAAATGATGAATCTGGTAGGTATTGATAGAATCCGAGGTATAATCTGGTCAAACTCCAATTCTCATATGAAATTGAACAAAAGCCAGTGATTGATTATGATGGCTGATGAAAACCCCAGTGAAAACCCCAAAGTGCCTCACATTCTGGATTAAAGTTATTATTATTGGTTATGGAAATTTAATCATTTTGTCAGTGATTATTATTTTTTGTTTCATAAATAAGTTCATGAAGAACCCCAATAAGATGAATCCTGAAATGTATACTTTTCCAGGTAGGTAGGTACATCTTTTCAAAACTCAAGGTGGTAAAGATGGGAGAGACTATCTATATAGGGGCCACACAATGTTCCTGGTAAGGGCAGAGGAGAAACATTGAAGTCAGAGATTTGAAATCAATCCAAATATCATTATCTGGTAATATATATTTTAGATTTTAATTTGAAAAATGAAAAACAAAGCAATATTTTTTCAGACTCCATCATTATCACACACCCTTCGATATCTTACTCTGATAGATAAACCAGCAGGAAGGTGGTTCTGATTTAGTCACCAGAGGTTAAATGGAGGGTTGAATTGGGAGATCAAGAAGAAAGATATAATTTGATTACTCACAATTTTGATTTTTTGAACTTTTGAAGTATACATAAATGGTCTCACTATTTTCAAAGAAAAATAAAGGTCATGTTTTTCATTTGATAGTTGATGTTGTTTTATCATCTTCTATTCAGGACATTCCATTTTATTCGATTTGAACATCATTCAGTCTATAATTTTTTGACAATTTTTTTCTTTCAAAGTTAGCAACTGATCAATTATACTGTGTACTATAATGCATAATATTTGGAACAGAAAGTCTTAAAAATTTTCGAGCAGAGTTTTTTTGTACATGACGAGAATTGAAGGGAATACTGAATGATATAGGAGATAATAAACCATCAAGCATTTTATGACTAATCTGTCTCTGTTACATTTTCCCACACAATCAAAAATTGCCAGATAACTTCTTTTTCACACTAGCCCACTTCCAACTTTCATGCCCATTTCTATAACCATATATCATCATCAGTAATATCAGTATAGATATTATGGAGTGTAGAGTTTGGATCACCTACTGAGATGATTGTACTTAGTTATCAATATGTGCATATGCCTATGAAGTGAGTAAGTGAAGTGAAGAGGTTATTCGTGAAATTCCCATATTCATTTCGGATATTAGTCAAGTAGTTTCATCAATATTATATTAAAATGGAGTCATATTTGTAGCTGACATTTTTACATAATAGGAATGTATATTTTACATAACATCTAGAGAATGTTATGTAATATTTATGTCAGTTTGTTATATACGTAACATCTTATTTATAGCAATGAAATTATATAAAATATATATAAAATAGTGACATAATTGTTACGTAATAATCATGTAGTATTTGTGGCGGACATTTCGCCATAACAGTGATGTAAGTCTTACATAACATAGTTACATAACACGTATTGTCAGTTATGTAACACTTATGTCAATTTTACATAATTGTGTTTGCTGGGCAGCCACTCAAATTTAACATATATACATATATTTCAAATCATTGAACAAAAGAAAAAATTTAATATTATGCGAATCGTGTATGCTTCCCTTCCTGCAAGTAGGGATGCAAGTGCTGGTACGAGTGCGCTATGCCGCAGTTGTAAAAGTTGAGCATGTCCGTGTAGGCCAAATGATGCGACTCGGCCTTCGTGCTCAGATTCTCCGGCCTGGAATCGCACGTCTGGCCCTTGTTGGTCGTCGAATTGTCCCCGTGATGGCCGCCGTACGCCATATTGAAGAGCGCCTCCGGGTCGCACACGAACTTGTAAACGTACCTTTCGCCTGGAAAATGAAAATCGTCAACAACAAAAATGCCACGACGGAATAGTTTATATTGCTTAACGAGCACAGAATGATAGTGAGTTCCTACGAGAATGAAGTTTTCAGCATGAGCCATAGGCATGAGTAGGAAATTAGCATTCCTTGCAAGTTATACACTATAATTTTTCTACGGCTATAATAAATAACAGCGGCATTTTCGATTTCTTCGTCTTGTAGCCTTCTGATTTCCTGTCAAGTAATGCTCATCTTTATTAGACAGAGCTGTCATTGCTTCAAATTTGACATTCCATGGGCGATGAGTTTTTTTAAACAATAACACAATGGAGTCATTGTGATATCAGATACGGATATGAAATTGATTACATACAATGTACCTCATGGATGTTTAGAACATAGAGCAATTTTATTGTGTAATATAGCCGTAGAAGAAAATCATTCCTGGACGAGTAATGAACGATATTTTTTCACACTTCGATGAAAATGTAAATATTATAATACAATATTACATAAGAAAGACACAAAAGGAACTTGGAAAATTCACAGTTGTAGGAATGGAAAAACTTGGAACTACTAGACCTCTGGTTTTAACTGGTATATCAAATTCGCGGTCGCTTGTGCCGCTTGCTCTATAGGATATTATCGGGAATTTCGGGATTTTATTCAGAGTTCATTTTGTCGGTATAAAGATTGACAGAGAATAAACAATGCTGACAATATATGATTCGTTTCCATGGTTATTCTCTAAGTTTTTCCGTGCGCTGTTTCCGTGCGATAGCCCGAAAAAGCCAAGTTGATTTCAAAGAAGTGTGATGAAAATTTTGTTTTCGTTTGTGTCATTATTATATGTCTCTTACAACACCCCATATCACATCATGAATTATTTGCAACATACTATGACGGGTTGTTTTCAAATTAAGATTATAAACTTTTTTCTTTACCTGCCACTTTCTGCATGATTCCTTTTTCATAATAATATCGTAACGATCTACTGAGTTTGTCGTAGTTCATCGCCGGTCGATTTTTCTGGGCTCCCCAACGACGTGCTACCTTTAATAAAAAAAGTTAAGACTCCTAAAAGAAATCATGAAAATTCATACGCGCGAAGGTGAGCGATTGATTGGTTTCGATTTTTTCAGCATTTTCAATGGGGAAGTTTCCTTCCGATGAATTTTCATAAAATAAGTTCGGAACTGTTCAGTGTTATGTCCACGCTGTACAGAATGGTGACCGATAAAGTCCAAGTCGTTTTTATTTCCAAATCAAAGCACATTCTAATTTTCGGGACGGCAAACTGTGATGTACATTCTGAATATCTAGTCTGAAAATAGCTGATGGTGAAGAATAAAGCTAGCGAATAGCTAACGAATAGCTAACGAATGAAAAAAGAATAGACGAAGTAAGAATGGCAAACAATTAACAACATACATACATCCGCTGCGATTTTTCACAAGATCATTACTACTGGAAAACCCCCTTACCTATTCAGGAAGTTATCTTTCAGAACCGATAAACACAATCTCAACTTAAGATTCAGGAATAATCTGACAGCGCCTAAATACAGAACTTCTTTTTTCCGTGGCTCCTACTCATATCAGATCGTTCGCTTATATAACCAGTTACCGATTGAATTCAAATCCCTACCACTCAAAACGTTCAAGAAGAAACTAAAACAATATTTAATCGAGAACAACTGCAGGTATTTTGGAATTTGACACAAAACGAACTTGAATTTGCACACGCTTATCTCAAGATTAGTAAAATGTGAATTTCCTGCAACCTCCAATATTTTATATTATACTTACTTATAGTATAGATATCATTCATTTATTAATTGGAGCATTAATTTTTTTAATTTTTTTATTTCCATTAAACATCATGTATGTTCAAAGTTAGGTTTGAACATGAATATATTTACAAAGTTGGATGGAAGAGCAAGCTCTGCTATGAATTTTTCATGCGCAGATATTGAATTCTGCCTCTTGTTAGGTTTTCTGTACTTGTATGTAACCTCTCAATAAAAGCATTTATTATTATTATTATTATTATTATTATAACCACGGATGCACGCGGAGCAGGAATGCAGAGGGTAGCTGGCTTCATTCTGACAGGTTACGGTTATTTGAACATTGAAATCTCGAATTGAGCTCAATCTTAAACTAAAATATCATTGAATCAATGAATCCATATCGGCTTCATTCAATGATACTATTCTTCCTAATCTACTGTCATCCCTCTTGTTGTGCCTGTCAATATTTTGAGTGGTGTGGACGGACTCGAAGTATTAGTTGCTGTTGCAAGATATAATCTGCAACTTTCCTAGAAAATAGATGTGTTTTATTAAGGAACGAATTCATTAGCAAAAAAATTACTGAATAGTTATGAATAACATATTCAGAGATTATACACTCTCTGACATATTGTAATATAACGATAGTGAAATAGATATTTACGTTACTAGTCCGGTAAGTACACTTCTACAGTACGAGTGAGATGTTTACGAACGAGGCGAAAGCCGAGTCCGGAATTTCGAAACGAGTACTGTAAAAGTTTACCGGACGTGTGACGTATAACATTTTATTTCATACTGCTAAAAAACAAAAATGAACAGTGAAAAATTAAATATTAATCTATTTATCCGCGTCCAGTAATTTCAGAATTTTGCATTCACTCCCAAGATAGCTGGCAGGTAGTTTCCTTAGAAACATAATTTTTGTTTTAAATAATACTGTCAGTGATTGTCATTACGCGTTTTTCACGAAATGGCTCAGGACACAGCTCAAGATCAATTATTCATTCCTGAGGATATTTCGCGCAAATCACTTGAAGCTACGGGGCATCTGATACCCAACAAATCGTCACTCCGTTATGACAAAGAACTCAAGCATTTTTGTCAATGGAAAATGGACAGCAACGTGAATTTTATGAATGAAGATGTAATGATCGCTTATTTTTTGGACTTGGTGAGTTTTCATCTAACTTTTAAGGCAGTTTGAGTTTTATAATAAAAAATATAGTTCAACAGGGTATCTCGCATGATTCAACATGGAGAAAACTTTGTTGAAGTGCTACAACAAAACAATGGGAATGTATCAGCAAGTAGCAACTCCCTAATAAATAATTCATCCAATGGAGCTCCTGGTATCCATATTCATGGGAACGAAAATTTAACGGTTAATATTAATATTAGCAATAAGTAATTTCTGTGTATTGTTTTGCTGTTGAATTTTTAATAAATGTATTCATGCTTTTGAGTTTTCAATATTTACAATCCGGTAAAATTTCATTACGGGATAGTAGCACGTAATGAAATATTACGTGCGCCTATCCTGTGAAAGTCTATTTTCCGGATTGAAATCAGGTACGTAAAGGTATGTTCTATGATTCAGTATGAAATAAAATTATAGATACTATCGCAAAATATCATAATTTGTCTTTCCTAGTTTTCAACTCCATTCAGCCAATGAGAGATTTACGGGAATTATTCATAATACTTGACAAATTAGGATTGAAGAACCTTTTATATCCGATTGCTGTTATGATCATATGTTATACCGGGTGTCAACGAATCTATTAGATAAGTCATAACTTCTAGACCATAAGGTGTATCAAAATGATATTTGGTATAGGTAAATGGTATGTGAAGAGGAGAGTTTTCACATATTTTTCACTTTCCGGTCACTTCCGGTTTCACCGAAAATGGCTCCGGTTCTAAATTTTTGAATGGAACACCAATTCTAGATCGGAATGTGATATTTTCGAAAGTTTTTATGCCCACTTGATTTTTTCGGATCACTTTTGAAATTACATCTAGGTGGCCATGATCGGAAGTAAACTAATCTAAGGACCTCAGGAGATATCAGAAAATTACAATCGTGAAGTTTTAGTGACAAGTATGATAGATATGAATAAGACAAGTTGGAAAAATTACATTTTCGTGTCTAACTATCATTTTTCAAATGGCGACCACTTTTTGACAAGCACTTTCCGAAAAAAGGATATTTTGACGAATCTAACGATACTAATTTATTTGCGATTGGATTACAAATAAGAACATGAATTGAATAATACTGACGAAAATACTTCAAAATAATTTATCTACTTTTGTCAAGTGTGCCGAGGATAGGCATGATGCGATTTCGATCAAGTCTTCTTGGGAGAACAAAACACTCACTTAGGTTATGGCAGTGACATAAGCTTCAAGAGCAGAAGGTGAAACTTTCTTGATTTTCTTTAAATTTAAGTTTGATTTTCCGTCAGAATAATGTATTCTCAAAGTGAAAAAGTGGATATGTTGTTATTGTATGCTCTGAGATATCCCAATCGGCAACATCCATCCCATCAGTATTTTCCATGTGTTGAGAATCGTTTCAGGCAAGAGGGAAATCGAGAGGCAGTACAGAGGTTTATCATAAATGAGGAGACTGAGATTAACGTTCTTGCTATGGTTGAGGTTGACAAAACAGTTTCTTCAAAAGAAATTAGTCGAGAAATGCAGATGAGTCACGAATCAGCAAGAAAAATATTGAAAAAGCACGGATATCGAGCATTTAAATATCAGTTACATCAACATTTGTATGCTGACGATGGCGATAGAAGAGTAGTGTTTTGTGATTGCTTCCTTCAAAATCATAGAGTTAACCCAAATTTCATCAACTTCATTCTATTTTTTGACGAATCACGATTTACAAATAATGGCTTGTTTAATAAGCAAAATTCATTTTACTGGGCCCAACAAAATCAGCAACAAATTTGTTGATGCAATCGCAAATAAATTAGTATTGTTAGATTCGTCAAAATATCCTTTTTTCGGGAAGTGCTTACAAAAGTAAATTAATTATTATCCATGGCACACTTGACAAAAGTAAATAAATAATTAGTATGAAGTATTCTCGTCAGTAATATTTGATTTATGTTCTTATTCGTAATCCAATCGCAAATAAATTAGTGTCGTTAGATTCGTCAAAATATCCTTCTTTCGAAAAGTGCTTGTCAAAAAATGGTCGCCATTTGAAAAATAATAAACACGAAAATGTAATTTTGCCAACATGTCTTATTCATATCTATTATACCTACTTCACTAAAACTTCGCGATTGTAATTTTCTGATATCACCTGAGGTCCTTGGATTAGTTTACTTCCGATAATGGCCATCTAGATGTAATTTCAAAAGTGACTCCGAAAAAATTTAGTAGGCATGAAAACTTCCGAAAATGTCACATTCTGATCTAGAATTGTCTCAGAAATCCAAAAATGTTTCAATTTACAGGGTGTTCCATTTAAACATTTAGAACCGGAGCCATTTCCGGTGAAACAGGAAGTGACCAGAAAGTGAAAAATATGTGAAAACTCTCCTCTTCACATACCATTCACCTATACCAAATCTCATTTTGATACACCTAATGGTCTAGAAGTTATGACTTGTCTAATTGATTCGTTGACACCCGGTATAGTTAATATGCATTCAAAAATTAATTTCCGGAAATCTAGACAGAATTGATGACGTCGGCAACGTCGTACTGACACAGGAAATCGTATTTTAACTTTGTGTGATTTTCAGATTTTCAGTCAAGTACGTCAAAGGAATGGTGAAGTTTAATTTGATATCACGAAAAAAAAACATAGATATTGATTTTTCACAAACTTCACAGTGAGATAAGAACCTCAATAAAGGAAACTTCCCCATTATAAATCATATCAGGGTTTCAGATTTGAATGTACTTACGATACCTGTAGATAGATGACACTGCTTTGAGGGTTCCAAATCACCCCTCACGGCTCACATGACCCTGTCTCGAATATCAATTCACTATCTACTGACATTTAATTGAAACAAATACAGAAATTACAGGGTAGTTCAAGATTCAGAATTCTGACCACCCTGTATCTGTTTCAATTAAATGTCAGTAGATAGTGAATCAGAAGTTGATATAGGGATGCGTAAGCCGTTTTGACCAATAATGAATAGTTTCGACACAAAAAAATGCTAGAGTTGAAAAATCTCGATTTTGAACACCCAATAGCTCTATAATCATTACCGCTAGATCTCAAGTGTGATGCATTGATGGAATCAGCTCTTTGGGGAGAATCTAAAACTGCAACGTGTTCCATTTGAAATAAAAAAATTGTTGCTACTTTTCGTTGGAAGCGGCAACGCCGCAGAGCTGAAAATAATTTAGAACGATGTCCCCTTCGAAAATGTAATTGACGTGTTTCAGATTTTTTACATAATCCGGTGTTGGCGACCTACAGAAGTACAGAACCTCTGTTTTGTTTTCAAAGGGCCACCCGCCACCCTGTATATCTACTAGCTTCCACCTGCGGCTTTGCTCGCATAAATCATATATTACATTTCTCAAATATATCTCATGAGTGACAGAACAAAATAACATCAAATATAAATAAAGACAACGGCAGCAAAACAAGACGGTCATTCGTTGTATTTCATGAATAGTAGATTGTTTTATTAGGATCAAATAAGTGACACTTTGTTTGACAAGCGAATTTTGCATTTGCGAGGCGGAGCGTTTAGCGAAGCCGAGCGAAAGCAAAATTTTTCGAGTCGAACAAAGTCACTTTTGATCCGAATGAAACATGCTATTTTTTCTGCAACCGAAACAATTAACTCAAATAAACATGTGAAGTAACCACCAATGCCGTGCCATATGTATGCAATACAGCAAATATTGACAAATAATCCATGTGGAGAGAATATTCTACCTGAATTAACAGCAGGTTAGGTTTTCTAGGATGTTCTAATTGTAGTTTCAATATAAATACAACCACAGAGTGACATATCTGTGTATGGACCACTGGACCAGGTGCTCCAATGGCAAATACCGCGCCAGTGCCAGCTATAGGAACAAGACGTGGAAAATGTTAGGTTAGTGAGCATATCAACAATGATTATAGTGATTATTTATTCCTCTCCATACTACACTGTGTTTCACTTGATAATCAAATGATGCTAAACAATATCGTTGTTTGAGACAAAAAACTATTGCTTGCCGTGATTATTCAAAAACAAGTTATCCGTCCCGAGAATAACGAATGAAATACAGATCAAGCAAGTATTTGAATCTTGAAGGCTTCCCTGATCAAACAAAAATACTTATCTGAGATGTTTATAATTCCAATACTAAACTATAATAAGGTGTATTTATATCTCCAGCATGGGTATGAAATGCCAAATCTGCTGAAATCGGAAACAAATCAGGTATGTCCAGTACATCCTTTTCAGTTCCTAGGAGCTAAAGTTCAACTTAAGCTCCTAGGAACTAAAATTCAATGTTAGCTCCTAGGAACTAAATATGTTGCCTAGCAACATACCTATTTTTGTGTCAGAAACGTCAATTTAAGAGCTAATTTTGGTATCAAAATGGACGACTTTTGTGTCGGTTGCAGAAAAAGGTATTTTTTGTACAAGTTATCTTGAGTGAATTAGTGTGTTCAAGTGCTGAAAATGTGTCTATCTAAAAATAACAATGAAGCATCTGTCAAACTGGATATGCGCTCGTAAAAAGTAGGTCACTATATTCATTTTTCCCGCTCTTTTCAGATATCGAAATACCTCTACAAAATTTTGACATGCAGGGTGTTGATTTCGAAATAAAAGAAGTATCCTGTTTTTCTTAAGTTTCCTTGGGTTAAGTATATAAGTGGAATTTATCTACCAATCATGAATAAAGATTAGGCTGATTTTAAAATGAGTGCATATATTCAAGACATATATATGTGAGAGTCTAACAAAAATTACTAAAATATTAGATTTTTCCTAAGTCTTCACATTAACGAGAAATTTCATTTTGAAAATTGAACATAAAATGCTTCGAAATTCGAGTACGCCACTGGGAAGCAAGTGAAATCTGCGGAATCCCAGGGATTCTCCAATTCGTCATTCACTTAAGTCAAAACAAGACAGTGATGCCAGATTGTTTCACAGACGAATATCCTGATAAAAATTTGTCACAGAATGAATATGAATTGAAATAGGTTATGGAAACTAATAGAGGTGAATGTAATATGTACAGAAGCCTTATTTTTTAAAGTTCACTGAGAGAACTGTGGGGTGATTATCTCCATGGATCACGAGAGACGGATAGAAACATGAGGGGAATGATAGAACGTCCCCCTTCCTTCCACAAAGTTGAAAATCGACTCACCTAGTAGATTTTCTCATACCCGCTCGAACAGCAAAACTCCCGAGAGCAAACAAATACTAATATCGAGTCCATTCCAGACTAATATCGTCCTGTGTTCTTGTTGGTTCATATTCGCACTTAAACCATCGAAAACGACACGACGACGACATATCCTTCCTGGCAATCTCACATTGAAAATCACGACCATATCACGATTATCACGACACAACATCCAATTATTTTATTTTTTATTTTACGTTTACAATTATTTTACAAACACACGAAAAAACTATTATCATATGATCTGTCAACATCATTTCTCAGAACAGTAGTATCTGTGACCATAGATTTCCTCTTTGCTGTGACCTTTGACAGTTCTACCTAGGATTGTTCGCGTTCAGAGAATAAACAATCCAAAACCGTCAGAAGCATGCACAAGTCCACAGAACCCGAAAATCATACAGTTCTGTGAAACTGCGCATGCTTCTGACAGTTTCGGACGCAAGAATTCAGATGACCATGAATTACTAATAGGCGATTTCTACGGACCAATCAGAAACAGCAAAGTAGCGCCTGCGTGGTTGCGATTCATCCTGATTGGACACAGCTGATTGGATTTGAGAGATTAGTGTATAGTGAGGAAGTATCATTTCATTGAATTAAACTAATAGATCTTTTTTCCAAATTAGTTTTTTATGAAAATGTTAGTTTCATTTAAAGATATGATCCTTCCTCACTAATACATTAATCTCAATCACCTGTGCCCAATCAGGATGAATCGCAACCACGCAGGCACTACTTTGCTGTTTCTGATTGGTCCGTAAAAGTCGCCTATTAGTAATTCATGATCATCTGAATTCTTGCTGGTAGCACACCATAAGAACAATCAAAACAAAGATCCTTTCTTGACAGTTTGTTGTTCTGAGAATGTATGTTATTTTGGAAAACGTCAAAACGTGATACTAGTAAATGTAAACAGTGTGGTCCTTGTCATTACTTTTGTAATAGATCTATTACTATTCCACGGAGATTGTTACAATATTACGATTTGTCATGAATCTATTACTATTGGGTGTTAGCACCAAAATATGATGTTTTGTTACTGTTAGCACCAAAATATGATGTTTTGTTACTAAAAAATCTATTTCTGTCTAATTTGTGCGATATGATTTTACAAGAATGACATTCAGAATGTCAAATGTCAGATTTTTAGGATCTATTACCTTTTGATACAAATCTGTTACCATTTTCCAAGAAAATCTATTACGAAAAAATCAGACCCAGGAACAACACTGAATGTAAAGTTTTGTTTCTGACAATTTGCTTGGAATGTGACGATGCATTTCTCAAACATTGAGCTGAATGATATGGTTCTTATGTCGAGTCGTTATTGTGCGAGGCCCATGAGACTCCTCGAAGACCACGAAATTGTAGCGATGCAAGGAGGTGGAAGGAAGGGTCTAAAGGATTTTTCATTAAAATAACTTCCAACCGTGAGGTGTTAAGTTATACGCTATTCAAGCTTATGTGTAGAAATCTGGGGTGAGTCCATTTTGAAGTTTTTGTATTATCTTTCTGAAATTCAAGACCAGGGTTAACTTCTTCCCCATGTACATTTTCTCGATTATACATTTTATTTAATATCTCCTAATTTTCATGTAGAGTGGCAACGTCGCTTCGTTCATCACGGTCGACTGCGGATCGCAAACGATAGTTGTGACAGAAGTAGAAATCTGGGCGGAAAAAGGGTATTTTGCCCCAAATCTATTTTGATCCTAATAATATTTTTAATGGTGCTATTCGGTAGTATACCTCAAGCTTCCTTAGTGTTTAAAATATATGCACTTATTTTAAAATCAGCCTGTATTATTATGAAGTGGTTGAAAAATAATGACCAAATAGAGATTTTGCCGATATCAAATCTCAGTTATAGAGAGCGGTTACTCATATCAGTAGGGATTGATATGGAATCACCAGAGTGTCTTCTCTTCATAGGTATCGTATGTACCGGGTGATACGTTATAAAACCGAGTTATTCTACTTTGAATTCAGGCTATATTTTGGACCACGACGTTATCAATGTTGACCAGTTTAGTTTCTATAGAGAATGAAATAATATTAGTCTTGTAATATATGAGAAGAACTCGACTTGTGTACTTCTATATTCTGATCTTATTACATCTAAAGCAAACCACACCATTGTAATGACACATATTGATTTGGGAGATAACGCTATCAAAAAATATGTTTTCGTGGATAAAAATGATTCTTTTCCTGCTATGCGTGTTCGATCAAACTTCACTCGCGGGACAAAACGCATACCTTTGCCCCCTTGATACACAAATAGCTATTACCTCCTCGGGTTCGATCAGCTTGAATTCCATGCCTCTGCCCGTCCATGCTATGCATCCGGCGCTAGCGTCGGGAGCGTCCAACAGCGCCACCAGGAACTGCCACAGCTGCAGCGACCCCCGTCTGCCGCTAGAGGACGGCACCGTCGCGCAACGGGGGTCCGAAGAAGGTTTCGCGCATTCCTCCACTTTTTCCGACAGATCTGGAACCAGAAAGGACATCCTCAATTCCAATTGACGACCACAGAAAAAAAAGTGAGAATGTCACAATATAGAGTGAGATTGGGCGTTTACACCTTGGTAGAACTTTTAACTCAAACCATGTTTAAAATGATCCTTTCATACATAAATAATGATTGACGATATAATTCGATCGAAAAATTTACTGGAATGTTCAATTTTTGGACATAAATAATAGTACCATCTGAAAACGGACCCTCTCATGACGTAGGAACCTCATCTCGCCATAGTTAAAAGAAAATACCAAACGCCGGACGGAGACTGAGGCAACTGATATATTAATTCTTTTAACTGTGATCTCGCGCTAATTCACTCTGCCAGAAATCATGTATCATTCATCTCTGTCTGGAATAGTCCTGTTTCAGTATAAGGGTTTTGTCGTCACATCATCGCCTCGAGAATCGGGGATTTCAATAATTTTTTATAAAACGTAGGGAGCTCACAGCGATAAACGGTTTGCGGTGGTGAGCTAGTTTGGGTGAGTTCTATCGAATTATGGAATAAACATTTTTTGTGATATAAGCCCATTGACTTGACAGCTGATAGCCTTACCAATATATTTTAGTATAAACAGAAGTCCATAGCAATAATGCTCGTTCGAAAATACGTTCATATAAAAAAATGTCCACTTCAAAGATGTGAAGGAAGGAGAACGTCCAAGCTTAGTGCTTGCTTGAATACAGATTCAATTGTAATTTTAATAGATTGTTTTCGCACTGTCTAATGTCGAAGTGAACTTTCAGGCAAACAGAATATGAGGACAAAAAAAGAGACACGGCCACCTTTTTTTCATCTCTTGGAGCGTATCAAGAGAAATCCTTATAATGTTCGGGGAAACATTGTGGGTACCTAGGGAGGATAGGGAGAGGAGGTAGGTATTGGGATTTTTCTCAACTTTTGAAGATTATAAGTTGGGAATACTCTGTTAGGCAAACAATTTTTTTTTCTGGTTCTCACGAAAAGGGATATCCTGTAATGTTCAGAGAACATTGTGAGAACCAAGGGAAATAAGGTAAGAATTGGTGTTCTCCTTGAATTTCTGGAGATAATATGCCTCGGGAAACACCTCCCTTGGCAATGTGTTCCAGAGCCTCGCTGTTCGTTGAATGAACGAGTCTTTGGAAAGAGATGTTCTGCAGGTCTCCAAAGTGAACACGAAGGGGTGCGAAGCCTCAACTCGACGATTTGATCTCGCGGATACTGCCAAGGGAGAAACAATTGTTGATATTTTAGAAGATCATCGTACTTGAAAATATCTATAAAGTAGAACCAAATCGCCAACTTTTTTACGGTGTTCCAGAGAAGTGAGTGAGTTTGTGAGCGAGGCATCACCCACGAGATTAATTGCCCTTTTTTGGACAGGATCCAACAGTTCCAGGGTATGTTTTGGTGCTGCTCTCCAAATATGGGAACAGTATTCCAGGACACGTCGGATCTGTGCCTTATAGATCATAAGCAGCTGACTGGAAGTGAAATAGCTCCTGGCCCGAAACAGAAAACCAAGTTTTTGGGATGCACTTTTAGCAATTGATCTCACGTGATTTTTGCAAGAAAGGTTATTGCTGATAGTGATACCAAGCATCGAAATGGATGTCTTCAGAGGTATGGTTACTCCTGACAAGCTTATGTTGGGCACAGTGAGATCAGCTTTTCTGAAGAAAAGGCATGCTTGTGTTTTGTTTGTTGAAGAAACGAGTCTTTGGAAAGAGATGTTCTGCAGGTCTCCAAAGTGACCACGAAGGGGTGCGAAGCCTCAACTCGACGGGTTAATCTCGCGGGGACTGCCAAGGGAGGAACAATTGTTGATACTCCAGAGGAGCATCGTCCATGAAGAAAATCTATAAAATAGAGCCAGATCGCCAAATTTTTTACGGTGTTCCAGAGAAGTGAGTGAGTTTGTGAGCGAGGCATTACCATCTTTTTTGGACAGAATCCAACAGTTTCAGGGTATGTTTGGGTGCTGCACTCCAAATATGGGAACAGTATTCCAGGACAGGTCGGATCTGTGCCTTAAAGATCATAAGCAGCTGACTGGAAGTGAAATAGCTCCTGGCCGGAACAGAAAACCAAGTTTTTGGGATGCACTTTTAGCAATTGATCTCACGTGATTCCCCGAAGAGAGGTTATTGCTGATAGTTTTCCCAAGCATCGAAATTGATGTCTTCAAAGGTATGGTTACTCCTAACGAGCTTATGTTGGGCACAGTGAGATCGGCTTTTCTAGAGAAAAGGCATGCTTGTGTTTTGTTCGCATTGAAATCTACCAAGTTATTGGATCCCCATTCGAGAATTGTTGCCAAGTCCATATTTATGTTTTCAACATTTCTCCCTCGTTCGTTTCTGATTTGCGTGGCTGAAATAGTGTTGGTGCTAGAATTGATCCTTGTGGAACACCAGCATTTATGATGAGGGAGTCAGATGAAACCCCGTCAACCAAGACGTGGAGAGACCTGTTTGAGAGAAAACTAGCTAGCAGAGAACATAGCTGGGGAGGCAAGCCATAAGATGGAAGCTTGGCGAGGAGTCCGTGGTGCCAGACTCGATCGAATGCCTTGGAGATATCAAGTGCTACGGCTAAGGTTACACCATATTTTTCAATAGATAGATAGAAGCCATATTGCCTATCGTTGATGATACCTGAATGTTCCAGGTATTTCATGAGCTCGATGTTGATATCTTTCTCTATGATCTTTGAAATAATAGATAGCAGTGCCATCGGTCTGTAGTTGTTAGGTAGGGTCTTTTTGCCTTCATTAGGAACTGGTTGTATTTTCGCAATTTTTCAGTTGGACGGGAATATCCCCAATTTGTAAGAGTAGTTGAACAACTTGCAGAGAACAGGTGTTAGTTCGGGAGCACATTTCTTGAGAACAATCGGTAGGATTTGGTCAGAACCACAAGCTTTGTTGGTGTTGAGACCCAATAAAATCTCCCTTACAGTACGTTGGCGACAGGTGATCTCGGGCATATGACTGTCAATTGGCGTTATGTTTGGAGGTTGTTTTCCTGATGAGTCCATCAGAGTGGAATTTTCAGCAAATGAATGCGGAAAAATGCTGGCTTTCTCCTGGACAGTTGTGGCTAGTGTTCCATCTCCCTTGGTTAGAGGAGGAAACGAGCTGGAAGTGAAGTTTCTTCCTACATCTTTGGCGAAGGACCAAAATGAACAGGATCCTTTAGGACATTCGACAAGTTTTGATCTTAATTTTGGCATTATGAGCATCCTTCAATGATCTAATTCTCTTATTGCATATGCCTCTAGCCTCGACATATTCTGCTCTAGTATCAGGGCCTGGAGTTTTTTTTGGCAACGATGGAATGCTGCCTGTTTGGAAGCGACAGCTCTAGAGCAATTTCAACTGAACCAGGCCTAGTCTACTGAACGAGGCCTCAGACTGAATCAGACCTGGTATATGGTATATGTACGCCTTGTTACTAACTTCCCAACCACCACATTCAGGTACAGCACTTTCAATTCGAATGCCCTCGCATATAGTGAATCGAATACGTAACCAACAACCCTAGCTACGATTTATTTCGAATTTACCGAGCGGAATTCTTCCGGAATATTAATGGAAACGACACCCTCTCGATTGATCGCGTCTATCGACGACTCGCAAATCGAAAGAAAACAGACACAAAACACGAAATTCCCGATTCCGATCACAAGATCGCGAACACACACACACACAATCTTCTCCATCTTTTCGATATGGAAATCACGATATCATATTGAAAATCAAAACTCATTCTCTGGCGCTATTAAAATGAGCACGTTGTGCGCGCCTCCCGCGGATAAACGTATTATCGCAGGAGGCCGCCGTTCTATGCAAGGAGTATTAAACTATCTAGGGCGAGCACCGTTTGAGAAGTCGAATACGGGGTGTCCCGAATCAGCCCGTTACCCCAGGGCCTACTCTATCTCACCGGGCACACACTAGTAGGGACAAAATCAACGCAGTGGAAATTGTCTCTCCCGTTTCATTGATTTATCTCGGGAAAACGGTCACAGTTAGCGAAAAATATCAGGAGGTCAAATATGTATAGAAAAGAATTTTCCAGAAGATGAATCAAATTTCACTGATTTACGATCATTTTTTTCAGAAATATGGCATATCAAAATTAATTGACGCCATTTAGAATTGTCCTTTTTCAAACAGCTACCAAAATTCCAATATTCAATTCACAGAAATGATTCAACCATGAAAAGATTTCGCATAGTAGCTAGATTGACCGAGTTTCTTTTTTTCGAAATTCCCAAGGGCCAACAACAAACCGATATTTCAATTCTAGTAGAACGATGATTCAGGTGTTCATTACAGAATAGTTCAAAAAGTTCGGACGCCTCCCATGCTAATCCTATCAACTATGGATATATGCTGTCACTGACTTTTTTGTAGGAAATTTGATTGCCTACAAATCGGTATAATACACATCCACTTTATCTCGAAGGGTTTTAGCAGCGTTTATCTCTAAAGATGATCAGGACGCACTTTGATGACGTTAGAAATCCTATTACTCGAGTGTGTTATTACACAAAAACGCCTATTCGGTAACAATTATTTTCTGCTGAAGAGTATATATTCGAATGATAAAATTCGTGAAAAAAATTTGATTTGAATATATTTGATATATTTGCAAACTATCAGAATTAAAAAGAATGAAATATGTGGAGTTCATATGATGAACACAACCTAACAAAAATAATTGAAAAAATATGTATCTCAACAATGAGAGATATAAAAATGAATATAACGAACTGAATAACAAAATACCCAGAACAACGATATATGAATGAATGAGGAAAAAATGAAAAAAAAAATGTTGAATCCTTAAACACAAACAAAACCAAACAAAATAAACTGTAAAAATGATCAACATAACAAAATAAAAAAATGATAGATATCACAAAATGAAATACACTAATAACAAAAAATATATATACATCATCTCAATCACAAACT